CAAACTAATTGCGAAAGAAAAATTTAAAAATATCTACACTAATAAAAGAGAAAAATGGTAATTGGCGTACAGTGCTACCCTTTTCATTGGCTAATCAGGGCTATATGCAAATTAACTGCCAACTAAGATTGGCAGTTAACTGCCAACAAGATGGCGGCTAATTTGCATATGTAGGCACAATGCAGGGAGGCGAAAGGGAAAGCAGGAAGAAGCCCCCTGCCACTGACAGTGATCGGAAACCCAGGGGGGAGCTAAGAGCTGGGGGGCAGGGCAAAGGCAGCCCTGGGGCCGCCTTTGCCCTGCCCCCCAGCCATGATCGGAGAATCAGGCGCCTTTGCCGCCCTGGCCAGTGATAGCAGGAAGTAGGGGTGGAGCCAGCGATGGGAGCTGGGCACGGTCGAGGCTGGCAGTCCCAGGAGCTAGGGGTCCCTTGCCTGGGCCTAAAGCGAAGCCCACGATCATGGGGCCGCTGCAGCTGCGGGTCCCTGCTGCCCGGGCCGGACGCCTAGGCCAGAGGCATTAGGCCTGGGCAGGGGTGGAGCCTGCAACCGCGGGGGGCTGGGGGTCCCCTGCCCAGGCCTGACACCTCTGCTGGAGGCCTCAGGCCTGGTCAAGGGGCTGATCCGGTGATTGGTGATCGGAGGGTGATGAGGGTCAACTCCTCTGGCCGAGGCATCAGGCCTGGGTGGGGGGCGGAGCCGGGGATTGGGGGGATATGATGGTCCCCTTGCCCAGGCCTGAAGCCTGGGTCAGAGGCGTCAGGCTTGGGCGGGGGGTGGAGCAAGCGATCAGAGGGAGATGGGGGTCCCCTACCCAGGCATGATTCCTGGGCCAGAGGCCTTAGGCCTGGGCGGGGGTCAGAGCCAGTGATTGGGGGGAGATGGGGGTCCCCTATCCAAGCCTGACACCTCTGGCGGAGGCGTCAGGCCTGGGCAAGGGGCCGATCAGGCGATTGGAGGGTGATGGGGGTCTACGCCTCTGGCCGAGGCATCAGGCCTGGGCAAGGGGTAGAGCCAGCAATGGGAGGGGTCTGGGGGTCCCCTGCCCAGGCCTAATGCCTGGGCCAGAGGCATCAGGCCTGGGCTGGGGGCAGAACCAGTGATGGGGGGAAATGAGGGTCCCCTGCCCAGGCCTGATGCCTCTGACAGAGGTGTCAGGCCTGGGCAAGGGGCCGATCCTGCGATTGGAGGGTGATGGGGGTCAACACCTGAGGGCTCCCAGTATGTGAGAGGGGGCAGGCTGGGCTGAGGGACACTCCCCCCCCACCCAGTGCACGAATTTCGTGCACCGGGCCCCTAGAGAATAATAATAAAAGTGTTATATGCTAATTAGACTGGACAGCCGAATGACCTCCCGGACGAAGCAGGGGCTGTGAGGGCCAAGCGCCTTGCACAAACTTCATGCATCAGGCCTCTAGTAATAAATATTAGGAATACTTATATAACTATATAAATGTTACTAAAGAGTTGACATTTAAAAAAACAACAACACTGCTCTACAAACTGCCTGCCGAGGGCCCTTTCAATGACTTCCACTTAGTCTCACTTGGTCCCAGTTTATTTTAGGTACTTAGTTTATGTGTCACATACTATTAAGGTGTTTCTTGCCAAGGGAAACAATATCTTAGTCATCTCTCACATCACCTCCCAGGCTAATTCTTTTCCTGGCGCAGCCCTCTCTGTTGGGTCTGCTCCATCCCAGGCTCCCATCAGCCTCCTTCCTCCTCCAGCCCTTCTTGGTGTTGTTTGTTTGCTTGTTTCATTTTTTAAGATCTCTCTCTCTCTCTCTCTCTCTCTATATATATATATATATATATATATGTGTGTGTGTGTGTGTGTGTGTGTGTGTGTATTATTTATTTCAGAGGGGAAGCGAGTGGGTGAGAGAGAAGAACATCAAATATGAGAGAGAATCATTGACCCACTGCCTCCTCACAGGTCCCACACTGGAGATACAGCCTGCAACCTGGACGTGTGCCCTAACCAGGAATCGAACCGTGGCCTCCTGGTTCATAGGTCAACGCTCAACCACTGAGCCACTCTAGCTGGGCAAGACATCTCTTTAAACCTTCCCTTCCCCAATGAACACCCTGAGTAGAAGTTAAATGATATCTATAAGCAAACACAGAACTGATTTATGGATGCAAATGCAGCTAACCAGTAGGCATATGAATGTTCCGTGTTGCAAGATACTAGGTATTTTGAGGAATACAAGGACATGTAAGAACAAATCCAAACTTTATTTTTAAAATAAAGAAAGCCTTGCCCTGGCTGGTGTGGCTCAGTTGGTTATATTGCCCCATGACCTTAAAATTTGCTGATTTGATACCCAGTCAGGACATATGCCTGGTTTTCAAGCTCGATCCCATAAGGTTGGTGCAGGAGGCAGCCAATCGATGTTCTCACATAGACATTCCTCTCTCTCCCTCTCCCTTCCTCTCTTTCTAAAAAGTCAATTTTAAAAAAGCCTTTCAAATAAAGAAAGCCCACAATGAGACACCCACTCAATTGGCAATAATGGAAGACATTACCAAGCATGGGTGGGAATGTGGAAAGCTGGAATCATTATGTATCACTGGTGGGAATGTAAAATGGTGCGGCCACCTTGGTCACATCTTAAATAGTTGACTATAAATTTACCGTATAATCTAGCAATTTCACTCCTGGGAATGGAATCTGCCCAAGAGAAATGAAAACCTATGCCCTCACAGACATGTGTATGAATGGTCATAGCGGCATTATGTGTGATGACCACAAACTAGAAACAATCCAGATGAATGGCTAAACAAAATGTGGTATAGCCATACCCTGGAATGTTATTTGGCAATTAAAATAAGTGAAATACTGAAATAGGCTACAATATGGATAAACCTCGAACACATTACCCAAGTGGAAAACACCAGGCTATCTATTATAGGAGTCCATGTATATGAATCTAGAAAAGGCAAATTTGTAGGGAGAGAAAGCTGACTGGTTTCCTGGGGCTACAGCTGAGAGCAGGAAATAACTGCAGATGGATTTGGGGAGATGTTTTGAGTTGATAGAGCTTTTCTAAAACTGGATTGGGGTGACAGTTGCACAGCTCTATAAATTTACTAAAATGTGTCATTTAGTAAATGATGAATTGACAGTGCCAGGCCCCTGAGCCAGGCAGTGTGACCCTGAGGGTACAGGGAGGACATGGGCCCGGCTTTCCTGGGGTTAGTGCTTTAGAATTCTCTGCTCGTTCTCCCACCTGCTTTGTAAGAAATTAGGCAGCTCATCTATTGTTCCCTGATGACATCAGCAGAGGAAACAATGTCTATGTCATACATCTCAAATGCTCATGAAAACATTCTTAAGTTTAGTGTGAGGTAAGGAAGGTAAAATAGACTGTAAAGTGGCTCAGTGGTTAGAGCAGTGATGGCGAACCTTTTGAGCTTGGTGTGTCAGCATTTTGAAAAACCCTAACTTAACTCTGGTGCTGTGTCACATAGACATTTTTTGATATTTGCAACCATGTAAAACAAAGACTTATATTTTTGATATTTATTTTCTATATTTAAATGCCATTTAACAAAGAAAAATCAACCAAAAAAAAAGAGTTCGCGTGTCACCTCTGACACGCGTGTCATAGGTTCACCATCACTGGGTTAGAGGGTCAGCCCACCCACTGAAGGGTCACAGTTCGATTCCTGGTCAAGGGCACATATCTGGGTTGCAAGTTCAATCCCCAGTCAGGCATTGTGGAAAGCAACTAATCTCTCTCTCTCTCCCCCTCCCCCCCCTTCCCCCCATCCCTCTCCCTGTCTCCCCCACCTCTCTCCCTTCCACTCTCTCTATAAATCAATGGGAAAAATACCCTGGGGTGAGGATTAACATAAAAGAAAGATACACTGCAAAGGAATTGTAGCGATTCTTTCTTTTCTTAGAAAATCACAAAATTACCCTATGTTTTGGGATAGCAGTGTTATACAGATAAGCTCATGTGTGGTGGTCAGTAACAAATGACTACCAGGACATATGAGTCACTGGAATTTCATTGATGTACATGGCTTTTGTGATCCTGGGAGAAATACAAACTCAGAAGAGTTCATTTGAGGGCCCATCTGTCTCACTGCCTTCTCACATGGCTTTGCATGCGGTAAGAAAGGTGGGGTGACCCATGTGAGTTTCATTCTTCCCCTTAGCCTGGGTCTTGAACTATTGCCACACCCCTGGTTCCTGGAGACTATATAGTCACTTCTTAAATTGGTTTAGAATAGTCTTTCCTTTCATTTTAGGGGTATGTTTTGTGAGCAAAGAACAAAGCACCTTGAATATATCTTTTTAAATAATGTCTGTGAAAGTAAAGATGAGTAGTGTTATTGAGCTAGTGTGCTGACTGATCTATCAGTATTTTAAGATCTGAGAGAATTTCTTTCCCATCTGGCTGGTTTCCTGGGAATAAGAAATCAGATTAGGCCAACAGCCAGAATGTGCCTCTTGAATACAGGCTAGTACTGAGCTTTACTCATCCAATTCCAGTGTTCATTGTGGGTGGGAAATGGTCGTTATTTTTAGGCCTGTTCTTGTCAGCGTCACTGCTGGAGCCTTGTGCAAACTTTCTGCCGCAGTAACCTGATGCCTTTGTCTTTTACAAAGAAAACGCACTGAAGTCGGTTACCTGGGCAAGTCCACAAAGGCTGTGATTTTGCTCCTCTGCTCTCCCTGGCCCGAGAATCTGCTCTTCTTGGATTCTTACTGTTTTCAGTAACTCAGCCTAAAAACCACATTCCAGTTGCACATCATTTTCTAAACAGAGTTGTAGCTGTTATAGAGCTAATTGCTTTCTTCGTGACCACATCCCCTGCTAAAATGTTTGGTAGTCCTGCCTGGACCGCGTGACCTCTTTGCCAGGACTTTGGTCCTTGTGAAGCAGCCAGCCGTGGAGGGTCCCAGCCATCTAGCGTCTCTGTGATGAAAATCCATGCTGTTGCTGAAGTGCTGATTCTCATCTTGCCTTTTATGTGTGTGTTTCAGGAAAAAAGTGCCAGTTCAAATGCAAGACTTAAAACTAACAAAGAGATTCCGGGATTAGTTCATCAACCCCGAGCAAAGTAAGTCCTAGTTCCTATATTTTTATTGTTTTGAAAGCTAAAAATATTTTCAGAGTGAGTTCCATTTTGCCTATTAGATAATCAAGACTTATTATAAAGCTATGTTAATTATGACCAGTGTAGTTTGGTCTAGCAGCGGTTCTCAACCTGTGGGCCGCGACCCTTTCACAGGGGTCACCTAAGACCATCGGAAAACACATATATAATTACATATTGTTTTTGTGATTAATCACTATGCTTTAATTATGTTCAATTTGTAACAATGAAATTGGGGGTCACCACAACATGAGGAACTGTATTAAAGGGTTGTGGCATTAGGAAGGTTGAGAACCACTGGAAGGAACAGATTGGAGAGTCCAAAAACAGTCCATAATATATGGCAGAGCAGGCATTTAAACGATCAGTTAGAAGAAAATGAAGGGGGATATCTTTATGGGGTAGAGAAGAATTTAAATAAGTCACAAAGGATGCAGCTCTTAAGGAAAATGATTAATTATGGTGACCACATTAAAATTAAGAACTTCTGTTTATCCAAATACACTGTAGGACAGTAAATGGCCAAAAAAGGATGGAACAGGTGTAATACATGTCAATACATGTAATTGGCAGTAGTTGGATTTGCAGAATACCTGGAATATAAAGTATTCCTACAAGTCCGTGAGTAAAAGGCGGAGAACTCATAGAAAAATAGGCTGAAGACATGAACAACCCTTTCACTGAAGAGGAAACAGAAATGGCTAATCGATAGGAAAAAATACAAAATGTTGACGGGATATGGAACACAGGCACTCTTAACGCCTGCTGGTGGGAATCTAAACTGGTGCCATTACTTTGGGAAACAATTTGCATTATCTACTAAAATTGTACCTGCACACACCTTCTCCCCAGCATCGTCACTCTCAGGGCAGAGGAGGGAAACGCCCAGCCCGAGGACCATATAAGGCCCTTGAGAAGTCCTTTAGTCTGGCCCTGCTAAGGCAACCGCAGACGGGACTCGAATTCAATAAATCTATGAGCTTTTTTCACAGCAACATAAATTTCTATCAAGTGAATTATATTATTTGAATGATGTTATAAATATCCAAAAGACTCTGGGCAGAAAAAAGGTCCCCAGCCCTGCTGTAGAGAAGGCCTAGGGCATGTGTGCCCGCAGAAATATCCATAGCAGCACTGTTTCTGTGAGCTCCTGAAGCTCTTGGATAACCCCAAATGGACAGTGTAGCTCAGCCAGTTGGGCGTTGCCCTGTGAACTGAAAGGTTGTTGGTTCAATTCCCAGTCAGGACAATTGCCAGGTTTCTGGCTCGATCCCCAGTAAGGGGGTGTGCAGAGGCAGCCTATCGATGTTTCGCTCTCTCCTCCCTTCTTCTCTCTCTAAAAATCAATTTAAATTTTTTTTTAAAACTTTTAAAAATATATAATGGCTAACAAAAATGCGGCATATTCTTTTGAGGGGAATATTACATATCAGTGAAAATGAACAAACTGTAGCTGCACATATCAAGAAGGAATCTGCCCTGGCCAGTTTGGCTCAGTGGATAGAGCGTCGGCCTGTGGACTGAAGGGTCCCAGGTTTGATTCTGGTCAAGGGCACATGCCCGGTTTGTGGGCTCGATCCCCAGTGTGGAGTGTGCAGGAGGCAGCCGGTCAATGATTCTCTCTTGAATTGATCTTGAATGATTGTCTCTCTCCCCCTCTCCCTTTCTCTCTGAAATCGATAAAAATATATTATTTTAAGAAAGAAGACAGAATCTCACAAATGTAAAGCTACAGTGGTAAAGTAAGTAGTAGGACCTGCCTATAGGTAGTTTCATTCATATAAAGTTCAGAAACAGGCAGAACGAAGGAACGTAGAATATATGTATAAGTGATAACACAATAGACAAGCAAAGAAATGAAAAGGCATTAAATTAAGAATCATGGTTCTCTCTGACTCGATGGAAGACAGTGGGACCACAGGTTCTAATCCTTAATTTGAGTGGTGACTCCATGGATGTCCTTTTATTATTATTTAAAACCAGACAAATAACATGCTATGTTTTCTCTACTCTGTGTTATGCATTTCACAATTAAAAAGTTAGAGAGAATAATGAGTCATTTTCTAGGTTGTTCCAGAACTGAATCTACCTTAGAGATAAAATGCACTGTGTGTGACGTGAGAGCCAACTCCCTTTTCCTCAAAGACGCTCGGGTATCCCAGAGGCTACTCTTCTGTGGGCTCCCCTAAATAGTAGCAAATCTCCTGGCGGTCCGGGTGACATGAATAAATTCTACACAGCCCCACCCCGTTCCAGGATAAATGTGACCATTACATATGTGCAGTCGTTGCCCCACGAATCAAAATCATCAGTAGAATAAATTGTGTTATCTCTGATTCCTCCCAGGAAATTGAGACAAAAATAGCCTAGTTCCTAATCACGTTAGCCTGGTATCTGGCATTGCTACAGCCATGGCTGCTGCCATGCCATGCGGCGATCAGGACTCTTCAGAGGGCGGTCAATGAGCTCAGGGATTAAAGTTTGTCACTTTCAAAGAACATGAGACATTTTTAAAATCCACTTACTCCCTACAATGTCGGTATAATGGGCCGGCCGGTGTGTGCGCCCTCAGGTGAGTGTGATGCTATACTCACAATCTCCCTCGTTCACTTCCCTGGGAATCACTTTGATCTACACTAGCGACCGATAGCTGATGACAGAACCTCTTCATCTTTCCATCCAAGCCACGGGACACAGGCTATTTTTAAATGCTTCCCTTATCGCTGAGTTCTAAGCAGAGACCGGATTAAGGAGAATTTCTTTTTCGTGTAGAGTGAATACTAATTGAACTTTGACACACTGAAACAGCGAGTTTTGCAAACTGGCATGAAGCTCTCAGAGAACTTGATTAAACCGGCTCACGTGTTTATTCTAAAATTATGAAGAAAATCCTGTTTTCCACACAGCAGCATTCGTGTGTGTGTGTGTGTGTGTGTGTGTGTGTGTGTGTGTGTGTTGTAAACTGTCCGTCAGAGCATAGGGTTTATGGAATTCAACTCAGAAATCCTTCTTGGGCCCAAGAGAAGAGTGTTACTTGTCCTACTTGCCGACTCACAGGGTGAAGGGAGCGCATTTCCTATGCAGTTGCATAAAACAAGATAACGAGGGTTTGTTGTTTTTCCCATGAGTGGAAGGACAATCTCATACCAGCCAATGGCAGATTTGTTAATAACAACGGCAGGTAATTCTCACATCTTCATTTGATGCAACACGTGGAACATATTCTTACAACTTTGTGATCTCAGGCAAGTGACCTGGTGTCTTGGAGCTTCAGTTTTCTCAGAGAAAAAAGAGGGTGAGCGATCCTGTCTCATAGGGCTGGGGAGCAAATGAAATCATGTACGCCCAGCACTTATCACAGTGACTCGGTAAGAACACCTTAATATTGAGAAAACACCCAAATGGCCTTTACCAAGCAAGTGGGGAAAATAAACTCCACTGTATTCGCACAGTGGAATATATTCGAGTTAATATTAAATTAATTCATTTAAAGTTAATATTTAAATTCGTTAAGATGAATGCACAAGGCTGGATGGACCTCGCCAATGTAATATGCCAGAAGAAATGAGTAAGCCCTAGAAGACTGCATAGAGCCTGATGCACTCTTTGTGAAGTTAAAAAAAAACAAAAAAAAAACAAAAAACTAAAGTAAGTCATGGTAGGAAGTAAGTTAGCTCTAGGTTGTTGTCAAGGTCCTAGCTTTTGTTTTTCATTTTGGTTTTATGGGTGCTTATGAGACTATTTTGTAAAAACTAACAAACAAAGTAATTAACTAAAACTGAGCCCGAGCCATGCATGAGCTACAAACAAGGGTGTGTCGTGATGTGAGGACTAGGATTAACCCCACTTCCCTGAGGTCCAATTGAAAAATAATAACGATGACCATGAAGAAATAACCATGTTCAGGCCAAGATCTGCCAGGAACCCAGTGAGTAACCGAATTTCATTTTTGCAGGTGACGTATTAGGGAATCGGGACCTTGCCTTCTCATACTTTTCTGGCTTAAGTTTTTCTTATTTGGAAACTTTCCTTTCAGTCATTGAACATGAAAGCCACGTGTCTTTCAGCTCGAAAGCTCATTTTGCTCACCTTCTTTCTTTTTTTAAAATATATTTTTATTGATTTCACAGAGGGAGGGAGGGAGAGAGAGAGAGAGAGAGAGAGAGAGAGAGAGAGAGAGAAACAAACATCAGTGGTGAGAGAGAACCATTGCTCAGCTGACTCCTGCATGCCCCACACTGGGGCTCGAGCCCACAACCTGGGCATGCACCCTGACTGGGAATCGAACTGTGACCTCCTTCCTGGTTCATAGGCTGATGCTTAACCACTGAGCCACGCCAGCAGGTTGCCCACTTCATTCTGTTCATTTGCTTACTTGTCAGTAAGATTCCATCATGTTATCATCTCTAGTCTTGTGAAGCTGAGAAGTCACAGAAAGAAGGGCCTATGCTAGCACAGGGTTAACTCACAGGAGCATTGCCAAGGTCAACAGGGGCCACACGTTGTCCTCCGTGCAGCACTGGGTTTTCCCAGTTGGAGTTGTCGTTATTAGAGAGAAACAAGGATTACTAAAATTGTTAAGCTTTATTAATTAAATCAGGCACCACCATACAGGCTTTTTTTAAATGTATATTTTATTGATTTTTTACAGAGAGGAAGGGAGAGAGAGAGAGAGAGTTAGAAACATCGATGAGACAGAAACATCAACCACCTGCCTCCTGCACACCCCCTACTGGGGATGTGCCCACAACCAAGGTACATGCCCTTGACCAGAATCAAACCTGGGACCCTTCAGTCCACAGGCTGACGCTCCATCCACCGAGCCAAACAGGGTAGGGCTACCATACAGGCTTTTATAAAAGATTTTTATATCTAATTTAGCATCAAGTATTTATACTTTTTAAACTAAATCATAATTCAATTATTCCTTTCCAATACCTGGAGGAAACATAGAAAACCCATGTGCTTTTTCCTCCTCCTGGCTCCCCACTCACGATCCTCAAATTGGGCATCAGAAAGCACCCAGGAATCTCATTACCTAGGGACTGTTTCTCACAGTGCAGCGTAAACTTTTGAACGAAAAAACTATTATTAATGCCAGTGTGTTGACAGGGTCTCCATAGGAGAAGAGGTCGTTCACATTTATCTAAGCGGCAGTCAGTCAACATGGGCTGATTTATTTTGTCAGAGTACCAATCCTGGCTCTGCCCTCCTTGGAGGGTTTCGGGACTTCTCTCTGAAACGATCCCCTGGGAAACAGCCGAGTAAGCCTCATGCTTTCAGGTGCATCCTACCCAAGAGGATGCACAGGTGACAGGGACCGCGTGCAGCCTTTCTGCCATCCGGCAGTGTCTGTCACTTCCAGGGGCAACAGAGTTTGTCTGAGAGCCTGTGTAGAGTGTCAGGATTGGACGATAAGTCACCCTGCCTCTCAGTATTTTCTAGCACAGTCCACACGCTGTCTTTCAAGGGGCAAGATAGTGAACGCGCCTGGTGTGCGGCTCTTCCTCGTAGATGTTTGAATGAGGCAGAGATGCTGGACTGCTCTTAGATGAGGGAACATCGTTTCTGTATCAAGATTGTGATCCTAGAGACACGCCCGACGGAAGGCTTTGGTTAGAATTGTTTCTCCAAGGGCGAGCGGAAAGGTGGAAGTGGTCGTTTACTTCCTGTCTTGGACCTCTACCCACAGTAAGGTTACGATTTCGTTTCAGATCCAGGTGGGGTTGGAAATACACTGCCTTGTCTAATTACTTCTGGGTTGGGCAGCTTTCATCCAATTTGTTTTAACCAAAGAGATACCTGGTTTTTGTTGTGTGTTTTTTATTGATTACAAAACATGTAGTGAAACCGCACAAAGCTGAAACCACTGAGGTTTTCGTTTTTGCTTTACCACCTTGGGGTCGTCACCATCAACCTTGGTCCCAAGCTCCTGATATGGACCCTTGAGCCTGGACATTCTTTTGTATTGACTTTATTGGGGTGACATTGGTTAATAAAATAATATTGGTTTCAGGTGTACAATTCTATAAAACATCGTCTGTGGATTGTATTGTGTGTTTACCACCCCAAGTCAAGTCTCCTTCCATCACCATTTTTTCCCTTTTTCCCCTCTTCTACTTCCCCCTCCACCCCTTTCCCTCTGCTAATCACCTTCTGTTGTCTGTGTCGATGAGGTTTGCTGTGTTTGTTTTTTCCTTAATGGAACCCAGACACTCTTGCTCACAGGAGGGCAGACCCATTTGGAGAGTGGATTTTACTGAAGAGTTCCCCTTTCGTCCATCTAATGTGCATATGTTGAGTACTAACCACACATTATTGTTTTCGTGCTGTGATAGTTCAGTAAAGGAGTGAATGGAAGTTAACAACAGTCATAGAACGTGAGCGCCAGGAGGTTTTCTAGATGAGGAATCAGAGGTCTGTGCCTCACCCCTGCTAACATCTGCGCTGTGCTGCCTCTGTGAGGTCATGAGTCACATGCATTTAAATAGAGATCATGTGGTCAATTAATATCATATATATTGCCCTTCCCATTGGTGATCTTGGCTCTGCTTACCGGTGTTACCACATTCATCTCACAAGGTTTGCTGTTAAATGGGGTAAGATAAGCAAACACACAGGGCAAGTGCTACCCAAACCTGCCTCCTGACTTTCTCCTTTATTCCAGTGGAATTTCTGTCCCTGGGAGGCACATTCGCTGTCGCCAATGCAGAAGGTGTTCAGGGCCAATGTCAAGTTCTCAGCTCATTTTCTGCCAGCCCTCATCTAGACAGCTGAATATCATGCTGATGCTTTGCAAAATACACATTTCCATATAATAACTAGGGTTATACACAGGGTGGAAATATGCCATGTGCTGCTTGCCTATCCTTTTTTAAATCGAAAATATGTATCTGAAGAAAAATTTGGCACATACCTCCCAATAACACCACTGTAAATAACGTATACATTGACAGGAAATTGTATTCCTTAAATCGCAGGCACTGATAGACTCTTATGAAATGCATCTGTAGGATTACTATAATAACACTTATTCTTACTATAACTTCAGAGTGTTTCTGTGGAAAAGTCTGCAATAAAGAAATGTCCACCTCCAAGTTTAGGGCCTCAGCATTTTTCCATGAGGGGGGAGGTTTAAGAAAACATTGAAATATGCGCTCTTTGTTTTTCAGCATGCACATCTCTGAGAGCCAACAAGAATTCTTCAGAATGCTGGATGAAAAAATCGAAAAGGTAAGGAGTCAAAGTACATGTTTCAAGACTAATTGCCTCTTGGGTGAGGGTAACAATCTTCTGGTTCCTATGTCACGAAGTTATTCTTGTAAGGGGCTGGGTAGAGAGTTAACACAGAAGTTCCCCCGACACCAAGAAAATGTGACTGTGAGAATGTTTCGTGTCTAAAGAGGCTTCCCAGCACCCTGGGCTACCCCTGATCATTCATTAAAATGGGCAACACCAGATAGAGACGCGTTGTCTCTAGGGACAGTGTTCTGTTCACTGTGTGTTGTCTGCCCCTGAGGCCCTGCTCTGACCTCAGACTGAAAGCAAGAAGGTACCTGCCAACAGTTACCTAGTGCCTGACACTACCCTTAAGTTCTTACCTCGTGTGCACGTTGCAATCAGTAGCCACCTCAGGGTAATAACTGAGAGACATGTATTATCTGTGTCTTACAGGCAAGGAAACTGAGGCTCAGAATGCTTGAGTAACTTACCCCGTTTTGCAATGATAATAATAATGATAATAACATTGGGAGCCCACTTCTCTGAGGCTCCAAAGCAGTCTCTCCAAGTTGCTCCTCTAGGGATGTGTGGATTTGACACTGACAGTGAGATGCAAGGTTGATCCATGTGGAAATTGGACCCATACTTATGATCTCTGAGTAGCAGCATATGCTAAGCAGCTGAAGGAGTATGGACTATGGTTAATGATTACAGGCTTGGAGAATTTAAGTTCATCACTGCAGAAAGGTGAATTTTAACTATTAAATCGGAGTGTTATCGTTGGAAAGCTTTATTCAGATGAAGAGTAAAATCTTAAATTCAGAACATGTCATTACTATAGGAGGCATCACAGGCCACTTTTACCTTTGAAATCTTTTCTGTTTTAATTTTTATTTCTTTTTTTTTTTTTTTTTTTTTTTACTTTTTGTGGTCCTTTTATCTGAGGATTTGTCCATGAATTTCTCAGTTGTGATCTCTATCACTCAATGGAAGATAATGAAGAGGTCTTAAATTCATCAGTATTTCAGCAGCAGAATAATTGTATAATAAGAATAATTGTATAATCTAATGCACCACTAAAAGACCAGCAAATATCACCAATGTGAAAATAGAGATAGATAATGAATTTAAATGGTAGGTTAGTCTATATCACTCCCTGACTGTGCCAAAACCTCATTTTAGGAATATAATATTTTACTTTTATTTTTAGTGAAATTTTGGCTTATGCATGACTTTTCAGATGGAAAATTTACCAAGTCTCACATATTGGTTCAAAAGCTGTTCAACTTGCCGATACGTTTTGTTTTAGTAAAGAAAAGCATAAAAAGAAATTATCTGTCCCCACTATTTTGGTGAAGATCTTTTCATTCTCAGTTTATTTGGACTTTTTTCCTCTGCGAGCTTTCTGGCAACAAAAAGATCTGCTTAGTAGTCAGGTGTAGTTTGTAAAAATTGAAATCCAAATTGTAATTTACCTTTAAACAACATATACAAATCTGACATGGCGTTAAAATGACCTCATTCCTTTCTGGTGTGTTTCCATAATTGAAATTCTACCTCTTTTTACTCAAAAGTGAAATTCATTGTTCCCATCTACAATTCAGTTTCCACTTTTCCTTCTGCATCGAGGTATAGAGAGAATGATGAGTTAAAAACAAGTGTTCCCACTATTGAGTACATTTTTTAATTTTTAATTTTTCAATTACAGTTGACATGCAATATTATATCAGTTTCAGGCATACAGCCCAGTGATTAGACATCATATAACTTATTAAGTGATCTCCCGATAAATCTAGTTCAGCAAGGGGGTGTCATTTAATCTGACATGGGCCAGGGCTAAGTCTAAAGTCCCTTAAATCCAGGTCCAAAAAAATCAAGGGTTTACTGTATAAGGAATCAGTTACAACAGGGAAAATTTTTATAAGATGATGTTAAATGTGTCAATAGATTGAAGTGATATTAAAGTGACATATATATGAACAGAGATTTAAGAGAAACTTGAACATGCTATTTATTAGGAAGATGGGGCTGTAGGAGATTTTTTAAATTTGATTTTGATTGATGGTTTTCTTGTGTATAAAATAAGAACAGTTTTATAAAACGCCATTTTGTAGAACTCTGCTGTTTGATGGTAGTGCTAGTCTCTGCAGCGGCCGGGGGGCCAAAGCCAGCCACCAGACAAGAATGTTTTTTACATGTTCTAATGTAGGGAAAACAAGAAGCAGAATCATGTTTTCTGACATAAAAAAACATGTGAACTTCCAAATTCAGTGTCCACAAAGTTTTATTGGAACACAGCCCCGCTTTTTATTTTTTCTTGTATCTGCGGCTGCCTTCACCTTACATCGCCAGAGTTGAGTTGCAGCAGGAACCATACGGAATGCAAGGCCTAATGTGTTTACTGTGTGGCCCTTGGCAAAGAAAGTGGCCCACGCCTGCTCGAGAACATCAGTTGAGTGTGGCCCAGAGACATGGGCACCCACCTTCGTTATCCCTGCCCCTCTTATCCTCACTCCTGCTCACTTCCTCCTGGGGACAGCATCTTTGAGGTCACCTGAATGCCATCGTCAGAGAAAGCTTGACAACTGTGTGCCATAAAGCTTCTAACATAGCCTCCCTTTTGTCTGTAGGATGAGGATTTGGGTTTATTAAACACTTTACGAGGGGAGGGGATTAAAGCCGTTTAGTTAATACTCATTCTCTCTTGGAAATGAAAAGCCCAATATACTGGAATTGTTGTCACTACTGTGGGTACCCTGGGGATCCTTCCCTTAGATGATCCAAGCAGCTGTCAGAGGCTGGAGGCTGTCACACTCCTCCTGCTCATTACAAACCCAGACCTTTTTCCAACTGAAATAATAACGTGTGAGTCTAATTAGAATAAAGCCTGTTAGAAACAGAGACAGCCATTAATGCCTCGATTGGTTTTTCTAATGAACTAAGTCGGGGGAGGAGACGAACAGCACAGCTCATGACTCTTGCTTTTCTTCAGCGTTTGTTGTAAATTGTTGTTGGACCGTAAGTGAAAATGCTATTGAAACACACCCTGTCTGGAGACGCTCTGTGAGTCCAGCCCTGGCCATGGTCCCACAGGAGGAGGATGGAAGAGGGGCCCTTCATGGGGCTGGGGGAGAGGGAGGAGGCTTTCATTCTACTTTCCCAGCCTTTCCCGCCTCCTTCTGATCATGTTTGTTCTGGATTCTAGCTCATTGTTCCCACTACCCAAGGGGTGGAAGGCGGCTCTCCCGCCCTGTACTCCTGCTTCAGGGACAGAGCTTCATGGCCAGATGCTCATAGAAACCTGCATCTGAGGTTGTTTCTGGCTGGTGATACCTGGAGGGAAAGGTCTCGGGGGAGGGGTGTTAGGGAGGCAGAGACGGAAGATGACCCGTTAAATTTCTGCACCAAAATCCAGATGTGGCATTTGGGTTTCATTGCTCACAATCCTCTTTGGTGCTTGGAAAGCCGGTCAGTCGCACAGTGCAGGGTAGAAGGCTATGCAGGAGGCATAACTGAGTCAAGAAACGGAGGTTCAGGAAGCCCACAGTTAGGAAGAGAGAGGAGGAAGACGAATCACGCAAAGGAAGCAGAGAGTGGGTAGGAGAAGCGAAATACCACACAGGCCAGAAACTAACAGGTGGAGCTCCCAGCATCATCCCGAGAGGTAAAGGAGAGGAGGATACACTCTTCGGTCAGCCAGTCAGAACACAAGAGCCTGCTTTGTGACAAGGATCACTCACACTTCCAGACAGAAATAAGCCTTGTTTAAGCCAACTTCTATAATGAGCCTTCATTACAAAAATTCATGTTTGTGCCGAAACCGGTTTGGCTCAGTGGATAGAGCGTCGGCCTGCGGACTGAAAGGCCCCAGGTTTGATTCCGGTCAAGGGCATGTACCTGGGTTGCGGGCACATCCCCAGTGGGAGATGTGCAGGTGGCAGCTGATCGATGTTTCTCTCTCATCGATGTTTCTAGCTCTCTATCTCTCTCCCTTTCTCTCTGTAAAAAATGAATAAAATATATTTAAAAAAAAAATTCATGTTTGCTTTCACCAAACATGAAAATCTTGACTGGAATATCTAGTTTATGTTCCTAGTACATGTGAGGTTCTGTTTTTTAAATTGATTTTAGAGGGCAGGGCAAGGGGGGAGGGGAGGAAGAGATATCAACTTGTTGTTCCACTTCTTTATGCATTCATTGGTTGGTTCTTGTATGAGTCCTGACTAGGGATTGAACTGGCAACCTTGGCCTAGAGCAGTGGTCGGCAAACTCATTAGTCAACAGAGCCAAATATCAACAGTACAACGATTGAAATTTCTTTTGAGAGCCAAATTTTGTAGGTAGGTACATTGTTATTAACTTAATTAGGGTACTCCTAAGGCTTAGGAAGAGCCACACTCAAGGGGCCAAAGAGCCGCATGTGGCTCGAGAGCTGCAGTTTGCCGACCACGGGCCTAGAGGGATGATGCTCTAACCAACTGAGCCACCTGGCCAGGGCTCAGTGTGAGGTTCTTTAATGCAGAACCTGGTGACAACAGCAAAAGACATAATTTAGGATGCCTGACTGAACATTGTGGAAAGTAAACTAGATGTCGTTCCAAACGTGGTTTACACAGGTGTTACCTATATACATAAAAATGGTGAATAATGGACTGTGGCCTTCTGTTACCCACTTTTGCGCCCCCTGCCTCTGACTTGCCTCTCCTAAGTTCCAGGCCATCCTCAGAACCAGTCTGTGCCCCCGTCTCTGCTGATACTTCTGCTCAAGCCATACTCTGTATCCGTTGAATTGCTAAAGAGGGCTGCTTTTTCCACCGTGACCTGCAAAATGTTGACAATTTGCTTCGCTTATGAGAGTCCCAGGACACCCCCTGTATCATGTCATTCATAGCCTCCACCTCCATCCCTACACACACACACACACACACACACACACACACACACACAGCACTCCCACCCTCCAGACACCCGCCTTTGCATAACCATTGTGATGGGGCCACACAAGGATTCCATTAGGTATCAAAAAGACATGTTGGCTAAAATTGCTATAAAACGTGGTGGTGGTGGGAAGGACCACTGGGAGAGGAAGAGACCAGCCCCTTGAACAGCTGAGGGAAATGTCACTTGAAGAGATGATGTTGCGATGAGATCATAAAGATGCAATAGGCTGGGAGTGTGAGAGATGAGAACAATGTGTGTGGAAACAGTGGTACCCAGCAAGGACCTGCCTGTTTGGGACACGTGGTGATCGGTCCTGTTGGTGGTGCTTGCGTGGCAGCAGGGAGCACAGGAGCCATACCTCAGCAGGCTTTTTTTTATTGGTGGAGGGGAGGGGAGGGGATATTCGATGGATTTTTGTCATGCTTGATAAAAACGCTGCAATGAAAATATTTTTACACATGCTCTTAACAACTTTATGGAGCTATAATTTACATACCATAAAATTTACTCATTTGAAATGTACAAGTCAATGAATTTTAGTAAATTTACCAAATTGCACAACCATCACCACACTCCAGTTACAGAATTCCCCATCACCTCAATAAGATCTCTCCTGCCCACTTACGGTACATCCCCTTTCCCACCTCCAGCCCAGGGAACCAATGCATGTGTATTTTTTAAATATGTGTTTGGGAGTTTATCTTTGGATACTGATTTCTATGGTTTCTGTAATGAAGGGTGTGTACATTTTTATGACTCACAATACCTATCACCCAATTGCTTTTCAAGGCAGCTATATACCATTTTACACTGAGGCCAGCAATATATGAGAGTCACATTTCATTGTGGGTGTGGCTATTTTTAAGTAATAGCGTTATTTTAATTTGTATTTTTTATTACTACAGCAGACCACTTTTCTGTTGGTGTGTTTACTGGTTTTAATTTGCTCTGAATGAGTTTCCACTTTGTGCCCTTTTGAGATCCTCTCCCTGTTCATTTTTTTTGTTGGTGTGAGCGTCCCACATAACTTCCATCGTGCGCACATGTATGCTGTGGGTATTTTTCCCAGGATGAGGTTAGCCTTTGTACTTCGTGGCATTACTTTCTGACATGCAGAGTCCAGTCTCCCGTGATCAGATGGGCTCTTCTTTCCTTTTACCTTGTGATCTCTTCTGTTTCCTTGAAGCGTTGTCTCTCTCCAGAGCTTTGACAGGAGTTCAGTTTGACATTCTGTTCTATTATTGTCAAGATGTAGCACTTTGATTCTTTTGGAATCTGTTGTTACTGGTGATTCCCTCTGTCAGTACTTAACTTTCACACATCTTAGGCTGTATTCCTTGGATGTTTTCTTATGTGTTGGTAATTTTTTGGTGGGTCCATTTAAAAACAAAACAAAAAAACAACTATTGTAAAACAGAAGCACATGCAAAGGAGGGAGACCTCGATGGAGACCACGTTATTTGCAGATGACGGACCAGGGATGCTGTTGGTCGGGGAAGGCCTATCCTCCAGTCCCAAAGGCCCAGACGAAGCCATTCTGTGGGCACAAGCAGGGTTTGGGCTCTGCTGCTGAGGGGTTTCACAGGCAGCTTGGAAAAGCACCTGACGTGTTCCAGCCAAAAAGAGAGGGTTCCCTGTCTGCAAGGTGGAAAGCGGAGGCCGCACTACGTTAAATGAGAGGTCAGAGGGGAAAGCCTCTAGGTCCCGCCCAGCTCCGAGATTTCAGCTCTCTCTCTAGTGTTTTTCATCCTTTCATTTATTCAGCAAATACTCATCAAGCATCTGACAGGCTGCCGACACTAGTCTAAATCCTGAGGGTGCAGCAGAGTGTGAAACAGTCCTGCCCACTCGTTACTTCCATTCAAGGAGAAAGACAGCCAATTAAGAAATTAATTAATACACTAATAATGTCAGGTGATGATTAGTAATATAAATGAAAATGAAGCAGAGTAAGACGTGTCATTGAGTATAGGGTGTTCAAGGAAGACAATGAGGTAACATTTGAGCAGAGATTTAGAAGGAGAAGTAATGGATGCATGAGGGCTGGGGTCAGCAGGAGCCAGCCAGGAAGGGAGAAGGACAAGCATCCAGGCCCTGAGGTACATGGCTTGACTAAGGACCTGAATGTAACGAATTGATCTGGCTGTGGGCCGAATTTCTCACCTAAGCAGCTTATGAGCTATTGGATCTATTGATCTCATTTTTCAATATCATCATAAGAGCTGTAATTTACTAAGTACCTACTATGTGCCATGCTTTGCTAAACAGCCTAATGTATTTTACTTCTAATTCTCACATCAACACTGCAAGTTAGGTCTTACCGCTCCCATTTTAAAGATGGAGAAACTGAGGCTCAGTGCTTCCTCTCAGTCATTTTGACCTAGCTCTAATCCACTCCGTTGGGAAAGTACGCAATTCACAGTTGATTGTTAAATGCCTGAGGTGCATGTATTAGCCCATTGCACCCTTGTTTACAAAAATATACTGAAGACTAACAGGATAAAATTGCACCTGAAACTGCACGATCAGGCCTAGACTGCTTGTGTACTTAAACTTGAGGAGGAAAGGTACTGTAGGCACTTTGCAGGAACAGTTTATTTGAAGTAACTCATCGAGCGTTCCTCTTTCAACTTGCAGAATTTTAGAATTTGATTGCATATAAGCATAACCCATGGACACAGACAATAGGGTGGTGAAGGCCAGGGGCAAGGCGGGGGGTAGGCTAAAAGGGATCCATGGGGGCACGGGGCGGGGGGGAAGGGAGGACATATGTAATACTTTCAGCAATAAAGATTTTTTAAAGCTTGCAGAATTTGAAAGTAGGATAATGTCCTTTCCCTTGCTACTCCTTAATATCTCTAATTCTTAGCCTAGACATTTCAACAGACAAAATCGTTTACCCTAGCGCCTTGGAAAGGTATGTTCTGAGTTGACATAAACTTCTGTACGTTTCCAAGAAAGTAATGCAAACAGCGGAAGAGGATAGCGGGTGTTCCCCTGCAGAGTAAGGGCACGGTCAGGAACACTTCAGTCAGCAAACACTGTGATTTGTGTGTATGTCTGCACCAAAATGCCCATGTGGTTCTTCCAACAACCCTTCCTGGTCAGCATCATCGGGCATTTCCGGTCCTCCAGCTTGTGGGGCCCTGGGAGGGACCCTGCTCTCTGTAGCTCTCAGTGGGGCCTTTGCACAAGGGTGGAATTGTGTGCAGCAGGCGCTCATTCCAACTGCCCAGAGCCCCTTGACAAAGACTTCCAGTTTGTAGTCCCTTGTAGGGGAAAGGGCGTGCTCCAGCTCAGAGAATGCTGTGTGTCTCCCACACCCAGCTACTCCCACTTCCTGCCTTCTGACAGCTGAAGGTTTTAAGGCGCTCTTTTTTAGCACAGCTCTTTAAAAATGCAAATGAGACTTGAAGTCATGTCACAGAAGCCAGCTCCCTGTCCTGCCCCTGCCCGGTAGGGCTGGTGTGCAAGTGGGGCCCCAGGTGATGCCAAGATGAGGCCACTCACGGCGCAGCTCCCTCCGGTTCCCATTTCTTAAAGCGATGCCGCCCATCCTGGAGCTCGTGCTCTTGATGTTTGTGATTTTCAGGTTTCTGTTCATAAAATATGTGTTTCTCAGAGCTGCTGGCAGGTGATAACAACAAAAATGAAACTGATTTGAATTTGAATTTTGTTACCAACTTACTACAGTTGGCGGGGCGGGGGCAGAGGGGAGGGCACGGATTACCCTGGGCCCTTGGGCTGGTCTGAGGTTTGCCCACAAGTCACAAGGCACCCCTCCCGCCTTGCAGGGTTGGCCAGGGTTGGCGTGAATACCAATGAAATAATGTCTGCAAAGCAACCAACGCCGTTTTCCTTCTCCTTCTCGCAGCAATTATGGTCATTCCAGAGGAGCCGATGCTTGGGAAATGCAAGTTGCGGTCTTGAGTGTACACAGACGTTTATATAGATTTGTTCCTCCAAAGGAGGCACTTGTTTATGGTCATAGTCAACGTGGAGAGTCTGAAATGCACCTTCTACTTCATAAGCCGTTTATGGAGTTGGAGATGCTGCTTTATCAATGAGTGCACCAGTTCACCTGTGTGTTGTCTGTCTGTCTGTCACTGGGCCCAAGTCTTCCTTGTGGATGAGGGGCCCTCTGAACCCCATCCTGGCCAGCTGGGCCTTTACTTCGATGTGAGGCCTGCGTTAGATAGAAGAAGGGAAGGGACTTAGGTGTCTGCCATAGACGTTTTATTCGAGAGCGTATACGTGTGGCCTGTCTTGGGTGCAAGGCTGTGGTAGGAGGAAGGAGTCCCTGAGAGGTCACAGTTTAGGACCTCAGTCCTCACCTGTCAGTCGCAGGAAGGGGGTCCCTATTCCTCTGCCAGGGGGCTGAACGAGCACGCGGTTTAATAGTCATAATAATACCAGCAGCTAATATGTATTGCCTACCTGCCAGGCACTGTGTTTTTTTCCACCTAATCCTGATCATGACCCTCCGAGGCAGAGACGATGATTATCCCCAGGAAACCAAAGCCCAGTCATTTGCCGATGTCACACAACAGCGTGTGTCCCCATATGCACTGGAAATGTGTCCTCTGTCCTTTCTTTTGAAAACTCCATGAGCCCTGCCTTTCCCCTCCAGCTGAACGCCCCGTGCCCACTTACAGATCTACTCCGGGGCCTGTGAGGAGAGCCCCACCTGGTAGGTGGGCTTCTAGCATAGCGTTGCTATGTCCGGATGTGTCCTGTTTCCCACCCTGGGGAATAAACTCCCAACAGTCAGGGTCCGTGAGGTTCTCCTTTCTCACTCTTCACCATGTGGCCCGGAGGGTGTCTCCTGATGGGTCCCCATTTGCTTGGGAGGGGTCCCAGGGAGGCCGTCACTGTGGGGTGACTGCTGAGCGCACTCTTCTCTTCTCAGGGAGGTCGTTGCCCAGTTTCTCTCCCTAGGAGGCGTTTTCATGCAGCGAATAAAACCAGCCTGGCGACCACACTGGGGTCAGGCACTCCGCAAGTAGCAGGGGGAGAGCTGGCAATCAGACGGTGGAGGAAACTAAAATACGCTAATGAATGCCAGGAATTTAATCTCCAGCAACCCTGTGAAGTAAGGACTGTTGTTGGCTTCGTTGTACAGATGGGGAAACTGAGACCCAGAGAGGTAACTTAAGTGAGATCCCAGAGCTAGAATCAATCACCCTTCAGCCAGATGGCCCAATAATTCATCACAACGCCAGTTAAGTATTAGGAGAATGGGAAATACTCCCAATATACAGATACTGTGACAAAGGAACATGTAATACACTTGGTAAATAGTTTTATGCAACATTATTATATTCTTTAAGTTTATGAATAAGTTCTAGTTATTGAGAAAATTCTGTTTTTGAAGGAATATTCCCCCCCCCCAAAAAAATTGAAATATATAGCGTGTATTTTAAAAGAAAAAGGACAAAGGATGCGAAAGTATTAATGGTGACTTCTACAAAGCCCTAGTCTGCGACACTGTGATGCGGGCAGGTGTTCTGTTCCTGTGATGGATTACAGACCAGGAAGCCGTGAGGTTCGACCGAAGCAACCCGGCCAGGTCAGATGTGGAGCTTAAACCCCAGTCCTCAGGGCGCCTTCATAGAGTGTACGTCCTGCTGGAAAGAAGATGAAATATGTTCACATGTCGCAATTGCATAGAGTCCGCAAGCCTTCTTGTAAGCGAATGAATCAAAGGCATTTCTGTCTTTCTGGTGCATCCCACACATGCCAAACATAGTCTTAAGATATGTTATAGTCATCGAGTCCTTGTTGTTTTAATCCTGTTTTAATTTAGAATGGATTAAAACTAAGACATCCCTGGATTACTCCATCCCCTTCTGTAAAATTGTAAATTCCGGGCACGGAGACGCAGCTATCAGATGTGAGCTGTCCTGGCCCCAGCGGTGAAAGGCTTGGGTCCTGTATGGTAGTATGAGTTCTTACCCATATAAAGTAAGGGCTTATTTGGGTCTTGGTCAGATTGCCATGCCTTGAGGTCTCTGCAGTTTATAAATCGGTATATACAGTTTCTAAACAGGTCGTTGTGACATATCTATCCTGTTGGCCGGTGGTCGCTGATGAGCTCTGGGGTTTGGTGCAAGGAGACAGAAGCCGACAGAAAATGGATACAGGAGTGACTGTGTCAGGCTCTGCTTGGAATTTCTCACTCACAGTCACTCTCTTCCTTTCCCCTCCAGGGTCGAGATTACTGTTCGGAAGAAGAGGACATCACATAGCACCGACCTGGCACCCGAACCAGGAGCTACTACTGTGTAAATAGGTGACACCCCAGTCGAAATCTCTGCAAAGGTCGGTCCTCTTCACGGAACAGCACTATAGCAAAAGAAGATCGTTCCATATCGTATGCCCCATTAAATTACAGTGTTTCCTAATGAACTCGCAAAGGAATATTGCTAAAAAAACAAACAAAACAAAACAAAAAAAAAAAACCTGTCATTGAACTTTCTTTGTTGCTGCTAGTTAAAACCTGTTGCAACTTTTCACTTCTCTCGTGTCCAGGTGTGCAGCAAAATTCTGCGATTTCACCTTAAAGATACTGTCGGTCTTACGGGGTTCTCCAGCCCGTTTCCTATAAGATGAGGTAGTGGTGAACTCAGCTATCAGACTTCTGTTCTCGGGCGGTCCCGCTTCTAAGCGTCTCCTTCCCTCTCTCCTTCCTCCCTGTTTGTCCCAAAGTGGTGCAGAGCCTTGCTTCTCACGGGCCTGGCGATGTTGCGCTTTGGAGATGGGATGGTTGCTACGGCCTTGGTTCCCCGCTACGAAGCGGCAGAAAGCATGCTGTGACCCTGACTCCTGGGCGCCACCCAGGAGCCCGCAGCAGGCTGTTTCGTTTACTGGGGTATCTCCATCAAGCAGTGAGCTCGCGACATTGGCTTTGCTCAGAGGCAGACGGACGTGTGATCACAATCATTTCAAATCCCTCTCCCCCACTTTTTTTTCTAAGGAAATAAACATTTTACTGTTTTTATGTATCCTTGTCTTCTCCCATTCATCCAGTTCAGTGTTCTCCGGTGCTCCTGGGTGCGGAAGAGGAGCCTTCCTTTGCCGTGGCACCGAGACTTGGCCTAATGGCTCCCTACCCCTCCCAGGGGTAAGTGACCACGCATTAGCTGGGCAGCAAGTGGTCAGAAGAGATGAGGGGACCCCCACACACACAACTTTCTAGGAGGACCCGAAGCCACCCTGTCACCTTTTTATTAGCAAAGAAACCATCCTACTTCCTACTTCTCCCCCCTCAGTGACCCGGAGCCTGGTCATTTTATTTCCCCCTCCTTGTAGCCCTGGATAGGACAGTGAGAAAGGGTTCCCTCCCTGAAAACGTAGCGCATTGACCCTCGGAGGAGGTCTGGAGGCCGTCGTGGGCGATGTGAACTGTGGTTTGGTAGAGTTTATTTTTCCATATTATATGAAGAGAATGATCTCTTCCCAAAGACAGAAGTAATATTTTTAACAAATGTTGTCACAAGTAAATAGCCATCAAAAGGTGAAAAATAACTTTTGTATTTTTTTAACACATTTGATAGCTGCGACGAGGGTTGTCTTTGCTACTTCCTGGGGAGGGCGCCTTATATTCAATGCTACGCCCGCAGTCCAGGTTCCAGTTTGTCCCACGGAAACACAGAAGGGGCGCTGTCTGTCTGCCTGTGTCTCTCTTTGGGGGTTGTGAGTGGGAAGGGCCTCGCCATCGGCCTCGCTCCGAAGGTGGGTAGTTGGTATGTTCTGGGAGTCGAGCGATCGCCTGCCACAGAATAGAATCAGAGTCTAAATTTGTTCTCCCTGAGAGGAGGAGCCTTGACTTTAAAATCCATCCACGTGGCCCGTAGCCGAGGGCGCCACGAGCTAATGGTGAGGTCCCTGGTCTCCTTGTAGACCCAGGGCGCCAAGGGGAGAGGCAGGAAACTCAGTGAAGAGCCATAGAAAAGGGACTCACATGTTAGCAGCAAGAGCCCTTCCTCCTTCCAGCCAGCAGCAGCTATTCTGGGGAGCAGCTGCGGTTGTTACATAAATAGAGACGCAGCCAACATACAAGGCTTTTTATCCTGCTTCAAGCAGGAAAATGCCGGGAGAGTCGAGTCGCCCCGGGGTTTTAAGTTCCCTCCCTGTGTATGGTTTTGGCCAAGTGACTGAAACAGTTTTTCTCAACCGTAAGCGAACTGCTGAGCCCTGAGCCCCACCTCCAACGTGTCCATGGAGGACTGTGCTCACTGCTATGCCGATGACCTGGCCCCGGGATTTCTTGTTCTTAGGAAGCAAACGCTCGCCATCTCCCATGTCCCTCCTCCACTGGGTGTCTCAGGGAGTGACTTCCCTGAAAATCGCCACCTTCTGCCCGAAGACGAAACGTGCTCGTGTCATTTTGCTGACAGTCACGTTTAGCATGTTGACATGACACACGTGTGCACAGCACCCAGTGTTTCTTGGGAACCTGGCGGGTGAGTGTTTTGTGAAACCGGAAACCGGTTCCCGGGAAACTCGGACTTTTCACCTGGAGGTCTGTCTTCCGATGTCGATGCCGGAGACCTCTTTGAAGTACAAGAGTGATTTTATCTGCAGACGCGTTGGGTACCGCTAGAAATAGATCTAAGGCATGGGGTGGCGGAGCGGGTTGGCAAGACGTGCCGGATGATGTTAGCAACACGCAGAGCTGTCTGTTTCCCATCCGTTGGTTTCAATCATAAAATTGTCAAGTGATTTGTGTTTGTACGTTATATATATAAATTTTTTATGCCTTTCTGAAAGGGTCGAAAGCAAAAAATATTTTGCCTTTTTTTTTCCCCCCTGCATATCTGAACCGTAAGCAGATTGTCTCAGATACAATGAAAAGAATAATCCAGAAGCTTCTGCTGGCTGTGATCTCTGAGGCTCAGGGAGAAGGAAGGAGGGAGGGAGGGAGGGCGGGAAATGGCCTGGCGGGCGGAGGTAGAAGGATGAGAAATGGACTGAGAGCATTTAGAAGAGAGGGCGGATGGAATGGCCGAGTGCCGGGTGCAGCTCCACACCCAGCTGCCCAGCGGCCAGTGGGTGGGGCGGGCTGTCAGCAAGATTTACAGCTGGATTCCACGGGCCTTGTGTGCTCTGAGCTGTCGAGTTGTAAAAGTTCAGCAGTGTATGTGGGCTTTCTTTGGGTTGGCGGAGACGCAGGATCACGGAGTACTGCTGTCCTCAATGAATGCGTGTTTGTTGCTGGCGGAGAACCCTGAAGGAGGCTCTTACCTCGGCGATGCCTCCTAGACCCAGCGGGGGCACAGAGCGGTGATGTGGTCTATTTAAGGGCAGAGAAGGTATGAAGTCTAGAGATGAGAAGTTTAGCGACGAGGTCGGCCCTCAGAACCGGCAGTGGCCACCCCCGGGCCTGCTGGGTCTCTCCCATCTGCAGTGCCCATGGCCTTCGATGACTCACATAAGAGGCGGCCTGGCTGAGGAGCAGCTGTGGTTAGTTATTTAGTCCTGGGCGCTGTGAGGCAAGGAGGCACCTTTATCCGGGGCTCCCCAGGGTCAGGAGTGGCCACGCCTGCAACCTGACAGCCCCCGGGGGCAGGCCCAGGGATGAAGGCCCCACTCTCAGTCCCACTTGATGCCATTCACTGTGAGTTATAACCTTGTTCCCCTTCCAACCTTGTTGAGACTTTTTTTTTTCCTGCTAGGGCCAGACCCTCCCTTACGCCTGTTAAAAACAGAGATGATTCCTCCTATGAATTTTAGGTCAGGAGCCTGGGATGCAGGCTGGCCTATTGATTGCAAGCCCTGCTTAGACATCAGGCAAGAATTTAAAAGGCTGTTTTATCTCTACTCGTCTTAGAAAGAAGCTAGATTTAGAAAAGGAGCTAGAGTCAGTTTTGTAGGAAGAACGGTTATTGAGTTCTTCATCCAGGAAAATACCGACTCTGAATCTTGGATTCTGGGGCCCTCACATGTTTGTTATGAAAGACAAAACAATTGTGTTCTAAGGCTCGCTCCTTCCTTCTCCCAACTCCCTCGTTTAAAAAAAAAAGTATTAGACTGTGCTCTATAATTTTACATAAAAAATCAGCCTACTATGCTTTTCCCCCTGGAAGGCATTCTCGGAGCTTTATTTCTTTGTACCTCTCAGAAATTAAACTTTTTAAGTTGCTTAAACCCTGAGACAAAATACAGCGTGTTGTGGGGGAGGGGATATATGCTTAAGGGCATAATGAAAAGGGGACTTCTCAGTGTCACAGGTCGACCAGTGGCCCCCACACTCCTGTGTAAGGCTGAGTGAGGCAGTCGGCTCTCGCACTATCCCTGCCATAAACCTTTGGAGTTTCGTGAATGAGGTCTGTGAACTGTTGCCTTGTGCCAATGAAAGGACGTGTTTTTCCAATGGGAGGGGGAAAAAGTCCACGGTCACCTTTTTGTATGTCTCTGGAAAAGGGCCAAAAAAGCTCTGGCAGACAATGAGGATTATAGGTGACTCTGTTGCCTTCTGTGACAAACCTTTGGGCTCACTGGCCATGCTGTGTTTTTCCAGGGACCCTTGTACCTTATCTGGGCTCTAATCTAATCTTGGGAAAAGAAGAAAAGGAACTACTATTTATTACTTACACTCATGCTGTGCCAGATACTGTGCTAGGCATTTTGTAACCGTTTTGTGTCACCCTCACAACGCCCCTGTGCCGTGAGCCCATGCCCCCCTCTGTTCTCAGTGGTGTGTCTATGTGTAGAATGCATCTACCCCAACATAAATGCCCCTGTTGGAAGAAGGAAAGCTGTCCTTCTGGTATCCCCCCAGTTTCTTTAATATGTCTATGCCCTTGGCAACACTGTGAAAACTACCCCGTGGGGGCGCCTACCTTCCACAATCTCTCTTGGGCTCATCACAAGCGTGGTTTCCCCAGGTGGAGTGTTTTACATGACCTTCCGGTATCTGATGAGCTGCGCACAAACAGGAGAGGCCACTGGCTCATAGGACACGAGTACCCCGAAGGGGAAGGCTTTGGGGATTTAGGCACCTGTCTCTCCCTGGGAACTTTTTCCGCACCTGGAAAAGGAACCTGGTACTTCTGAGGTTAGACACCAGATGCAGCCAGGACAGGCATCTGAGTGTGGGCGCTGTTTTCCTGGTCCCCAGGCTCCCTTTCTCACAGCCTGCATCTTTTCAAGGTGAAGGCTTTGACCTTGCAGAGCAGTTTGGGAGAATCTGATCGCCAGAGATGGAGGAAAGGCCTGGACTGTTGACTTGAAATCCTTTCTTGTGGGCTAGAGCTTGGTGTTTCTCTTTGATCTTTGAAATGTGGGTCTGGAATTTTCCAGACTAGTTTAAGCACTGAAACTAGATGTGAATCTCTTTCGAGACCGTAAGTGTTTGGGATAGTCCTGTAGTGACTTGGACAGCATTTAAATAACTTGTTCCATGGTCAGCAGAGCCCAGGAACTCCAGAGTTCCTCTCCTTGCTCCTAAAGGCGCACCATCTAAAGACGACTCACATCTCCAACCTCACTGAGTTAGCTCCACGGAATCAAAAGAATTTCATGTGTAGAGGGGGCCCTATGGCCATTTTTCCCATGAAAACTGTCCCCAAGATTCTGACCCAGTGGCTGTCAGATTCATTCAACATAATGTAGGCAATGGCTCTTGGCTCTTGGAAGCCAGAGAAATTGCTTTAATTCAGCAAGATTCGCCCCTAAAACCAAAGGCCTCATTCTAATACTATCTTTCCACTCTAACCAACCCTGAATTCTCCCTTCTTCCCTTTCCAGGGGTTATTTTTAGGCCATGGCTTTGAACTTGATTAAGATTTGGAGGCAGTGAAAAGAGCACGGTAAACTCAGCCAGAACTGCCTTAGGGTCCCTGGGGTTAAAAATAGCTGTGGAGCCTGGGGGATGCTTGGCCTCAACCCAGACGTGACAGAACAGCCCCTGGTTTCCTGCATTTCGGTCCAGACCTTCAGGGACTGCTCTCTCTCCACTGCGCGCGCGCTCTCTCTCTCTCTCTCTCTCTCTCTCTCTCTC